AAATCTAAAAGTACCGAAAAGTGAGAAAATGGAAGGTTTTTAGTAAAAAAAGACCATATAAAGTCACTGAAGTGTAACGCTAAGATTTATAAACGCGGTACTGCGCCATGAAGCGACGTGAATGCATCAAATACGTAGTATTAAAGAGAGCTGGCGCCAGCCATGAGAACGCTCAATTGCTGTTGTTGTCATTCCTTATATTAAGGGTCTAAGTGGCGACCTGCCATTGTGGAACACATTGATCCACCTAAGCATTTACTTGCCTGTTATGTCCCGAGACCCGTACTTGGGATGGGTGCGATTGGGGTTCCAGTCTGGTGTCAGCCCTGATCGAAACCCCGTTGTCTGGTTCGTACAGACGCCGATCTCGTATATGGAGCGTACATGTATGTTTGTATTTTGTTAGCTTAATTGATATTTCAGTAAGTGAACTACCGTTACTTGATGTCTGTCCTTTACTATTGAGTATATTTGTGTAGGCCTTAAGAAACTATATTGCATGGTCAGAAACCGATTTATTTTTACAAATTTTCAATAAAAAAAAAATCATTTAATAGTATACCATTGAAAATTATAGATATTTCGCGAAAAGGAAAAAGACTCGATCTATTTCTCTTCTTGTCCGCACTGTTGTTGCTATTTCCCTGCCTATATATGGTTTAAGAAATACTAACACAAAGCACGTGCATTCGTCACACAAAAAGACACCACATACCTCTGTCGTTAGGTGACACTACTACTGGTTTTCTCATTAAAATCACTATAACAGACGTTATGGATTTACTAATCCAGTACTAAGTCATTTTCCTGGATAAATGCGTCCTAATGATCAATAAGCTAATCTAACTAAGGTCACCATCGATACCTATCACATGTACCAGCTGTTGGACTCCACTTTATATGATTCACAGTTTTTGGATTATTCTTAATTTAAATTGTTACCTGTATTTGACAGAGGACATCATAAGTGGGTAACATTTGTGGTACAGGACACTCTATCGCTTCTGGGGCAGCTGGTTTCGCCACTAACGAGGCTCAATATGTGTTTTTTCTGTACTTGGTTCTAGTAATTGAGTCTTTCATTCAATAGTGTGTTCATCTTATTTTAGTTAAAAAGAGAGCATTGGAACGTAAGACACACACATGGGATTGTACCTTTAACATTTTGTAATAGATTCAGTATTTCAAAAATCGATTACACTTTACCATTTTGCTGGGGTTTTTTTTCCCTTTTTTGGCTCATTAATTATAGGGACCGGACAGGCAGACATCCAACCTGGTCTAAGCACAGAAAGGGAGGTAGGTCAACCCCCTAAACTGTATGCATTTTAACAAATTACAGGAGTACTGGTTAATTTTAAATTATTTCTTATGAGTTAAGTGAGTACATACCGCGCCACTTCTTAAAAGAGATAAAGAGATATGGCAGACCTTGGGGACTGAAAATCCACTAACAGAGTATACTAACTTGTATCTCATACCTGTTGAATCTTGTTATAGTAATACAAGCAATTTTCAGAGCATGAAATACAACGTTCTGTATTGCACATGTGCAATACGGAATGTTGTATTTACCTACTAGCCGGAACTACTTTCTTTGGGAATCCCCTTGTCATGGCAAACTGAAAAGTTCCCGGTATTTGCAATAAATATCAAAGTTTAGAAAATCTTTGTATCGATCTCTACCAAATACGGAAGGTATGTGATATAAGCAAGACCACGCACTTGTGTTTTTCTAACGAATCAGAAAGCACTCATTTATTGCGCGGACGTATATATTAACTCGTGCGCTCCGCGCACTCGTGAATATATTCGTCCGCGCAATACACTGTGATTTTGCATATGTATCTTGAAAGATTGACCAAAGACACACACATCGGAACGCACTTTTAAGGTTTGGTAATATATGCAGCATGCCAAAAGTGAATACCATCGAACCATAAAGCTGCTTCGTGCTTCAAGGACTCTTCTATGATGCTAAGGGCCAAAAAAGTTGCAAATTTAAATTAGTCTTACATGTAACTTCTGTTGTAACAGAAGGTTTATGCTACTGTAAACAAAAAAGAGATGATAGACATTTACCCCCCCCCCATGTTAATTTAACTGCCAACTCATAAATAACATGAATTAATTGCTTATCATAGTGATCTAGACGTTGTGTCAAATTTAACCAGAGATCGTTAATTGCAGTTTTGTAACTGGAGAACGTGATCGTTCAAGGCTCAATTTAAGTTTTGTTTGAGTTGAAGAAATTATTCTTTTCTTTCACGGTCTCACTGCATTTCTGTTTATTTTGTTTGATATACTCATTATTGCTTTCATACAGCATCTTTTCTATATGAAATGCCACACGGATCACCGTTTCTTATAGGAAGATGTACAAGACGAATTACATAAGTCGGGAAAGAAGTGATATTTCCGAGTGGTAGGTATGTGTTACGACTACGACTTGTGCTATTACAAGAGTATCTATTAATGTTCTTCCACAATAATAAAACCTGCTGCTATCACACCGGAGATCCAAATTGAAAACAAATGCTGTCAGAACGGTTTCAATTACAGAATTGCAGCTGTTGTAGTGTATTTTGACAAATTCACAACATTGCACTATTTGAGAGCATTGTCAATAATGTGCAACAGTCACCTTTATTAAGAAACTGAACATGTTTTCGCTTAAAAACTACACAACGTTTTCATTAGTAATAACTGTCTGATGACTGAATACTAATTGTATTTTTCCACTCTGACATTTCAAATGGTACGACATACATAGAACAGTATGCACAGCAGGAGTGAAAATGTGAGAAACATCCGACACCCGTTTGAAATATATATGATATTCAGGGGGGAACCGTCGAAACGGCAAGATATCGTAATGTACAGATACTGACGTCACATTCACAGGATATACCACCAGCATTTCAGCTTTTACTTGTATAATAGTAATGATTACGATTGGCTTTTTCATTATAGTAACATTTACGATTTTTACCTCTTTCAAGATGACATCCGTGACGGATTTTAGTTAGAAATATTTTCACAGATATTCGTTTATTGATCAACTTAATTAGTGCCTTGTTTTTAAAGTGTCCGTGTATACTACTAAAAACTGCATAAACCTTAAACAATAATGTATATGACAAACCACTATATTTATCGTGAAAATGAGTAGTATAAACCGTAAGCAATAATGTATATGACAAACAACTATATTTACCGTGAAAATGAGAAGCATAAACCTTAAACAATAATGTATATGACAAACCATTATATTTACCGTGAAAATGAGTATTATAAACCTTAAACAATAATGTATGTGACAAACCACTATATTTACCGTAAAAATGAGTAGTATAAACCTTAAACAATAATGAATATGACAAACCACTATATTTACCGTGTAAATGAGTAGTATAAACCTTAAACAATGATGTATATGACAAACCACTATATTTCCCGTGAAAATGAGTAGTATAAACTTTAAACAATAATGTATATGACAAGCCACTATATTTACCGTGAAAATGAGAAGTATAAACCTTAAACAATAATGTGTATGACAAACCACTATATTTACCGAGAAAATGAGTAGTATAAACCTTAAACGATAATGTATATGACAAACCACTAAATTTACCGTGAAAATGAGTAGCATAAACCTTAAACAATAATGTATGTGACAAACCACTATATTTACCGTAAAAATGAGTAGTATAACCCTTAAACAATAATGTATATGACAAACCATTATATTTACCGTGAAAATGAGTAGCATAAACCTTAAACAATAATGTATTTGACAAACCACTATATTTACCGTGTAAATGAGTAGTATAAACCTTAAACAATGATGTATATGACAAACCACTATATTTTCCGTGAAAATGAGTAGTATAAACCGTAAGCAATAATGTATATGACAAACAACTATATTTGCCGTCAAAATGAGTAGTATAAACCTTAAACGATAATGTATATGACAAACCATTATATTTACCGTGAAAATGAGTATTATAAACCTTAAACAATAATGTATGTGACAAACCACTATATTTACCGTAAAAATGAGTAGTATAACCCTTAAACAATAATGTATATGACAAGCCACTATATTTACCGTGAAAATGAGAAGTATAAACCTTAAACAATAATGAATATGACAAACCACTATATTTACCGTGAAAAGGAGTAGTATAAACCTTAAACAATAATATATATGACAAACCACTATATTTAATGTGAAAATGAGTAGTATAAACCTTAACCAATAATGTATATGACAAACCACTGTATTTACCGTGAAAATGAGTAGTATACACCCTAAACAATAATGTATATGACGAACCACTATATTTACCGTGAAAATAAGTAGTATAAACCTTAAACAATAATGAATATGACAAACCACTATATTTACTGTGAAAATGAGTAGTATAAACCTTAACCAATAATGTATATGACAAACCACTAAATTTACCGTGAAAATGAGTAGCATCAACCTTAAACAATAATGTATATGGCAAACCACTATATTTACCGTGAAAGTGAGTAGTATAAACCTTAAACAATGATGTATATGACAAACCACTATATTTCCCGTCAACATGACTAGTATAAACCTTAAACAATAATGAATATGACAAACCACTATATTTACCGTGACAATGAGTAGTATAAACCTTAAGCAATAATGTATATGACAAACAACTATATTTACCGTGAAAATGAGTAGTATAAACCAAGACATGTACCGTTCATGTTAACACTTCCACGGGCTGCCGATTTAGGTTTATATTTGGTCGCATTTATACACCAAAGCTCTTCTAGGATGTTATAAAAAAAAAATGAAATTTGAAAGGAATTTCGATGTTTGCCGTTTCCATGAACTTGGCGAAATGCTTGCAACGATTGGCCGGGCCGGCCTGTGGGTTACACACGGAGATGGTTCGCAGGAAGGCCACAGTATATAAACACAGCGCTATCGATCACGACAGGAATAAGCCAACAGTTTGTGAGCCGTAATAGGCCTATATAGATAGATAGGCCAGCGAACATCACTCAAATCAATTCTATAAGCCAGCAATGTTTACTGGAGAAACGGCAGCTGAGGAGAATTGAAAGTATCGCCGACAAATTGTGTCACATATGTTTGTATTTGTTGAGAGAGGGAGATATACGGACGGAACTGGACACGAGACGGTAAATAGACGATACTCGAACACATGACAACAGCAGTAAGTGTTTTGAGTGAAGGTTGGTGTTTTTGTCGATTAGAAAATGTTTTGATATTAAAAAAAAAAAAAAAAAAAAAATTCAATGCAACAAATAGAGAAGTCATTAACCTATTAACAACATGATCTGGACTACCTGGACTAACTTAAAGCACGTCTTCTTTAGGAAATACGCAAGGCAGCATCCGTAACAGCATGTGAGTGAAGGGCGATGAGAGCAAATGACCTTTGTTTTGTGATACTCAAAATGCCAGGAATAAACGTCTCCTTTTACTTTCGAGCTTATAGACGATGAACGGAATATTGTTCAACAGATACAAACACGGACTTAGTGTTAGGTGGAATAGCACACGTTCTTGTTATGTTTGTGATGTTTTGTTGGCGTTAATTAGTTAAAGATTCTATTTGTGACACAATCATCTACAGACCAAGGGCAAGCCAGAATGTCAGTAACACGTAATGGATTAAGATGGTAATTGACATTTTCTGTCCGGATCTTAACGTTCAAGGTGAGCATTATGTAATGTTTAATTTGCTCTCTCTTCAGTTATCTTGAATGTATTTATCTTTTATATCATACCAAATTGTCACATTTTTATCATCTATGCTTATCAAATGTTGTTTTCATCCATCGTTAGACGATTGAATGACTTCATTTCTATGGCATATACAAGAAGTGATGGTAGGACTTTTATATCCAAACAAAATTACAGCAACATAAAATGGTCGTCGTACTGACAGGGATCTACTGTATATCTATGAAGAATTGATATACACGAACATAAAATGTCGTAGTTATATAATCTATTGAAAAACATGAAGATTTACAGAATTATATAATCGACCATTGTAATAATGCCAAGCCTTTGGTGACTTCCTGTACTGTTTTGTGCCCGAGAGCCTATACCATCACATTGCGACAAATGAATGCTGAAATTGAATTTCCTTTTCACATGATGTTTGCTCAGTTTCATGTCTTTTGTGGTAATTATGAGTGCATACATTTTATTTTAATGATGCGTCATGTGCTTTTATCATTTACGTAAAAATGGTTTTCATTCTTCTGCATTATTTATTAAGGTTCAGAAGCAGTACATTAGGTTTCTTTTAAAGAAAGCTACTCTAATGTTTTAACAAAAACGGGCTATCAATAAACAGCTGAATTTTGTTTAAAACACATTCGATAAAGGAATGCCCTGTTCAAATATTTTGATTGTTTTGAATCCCGTTTAAACAAATCTCTGCTAAATAATTGGTCAATTAGATAATACTACTGCATAAGATTATTCCTATATTCGTTCAAGTTTGTGACATGAACATTAATTTAGTCATTCGTTCGTTCCCCTTAGTGTGAACAAAAAAAACACTTCTGAGTGTAAGATGTCCACGTTAATATAAAGGTGGACGTTTCCTTCAACGTTAAATGATACTGAAAATACAAATCGATAAGAGAACTTTTACCATTGAAACATTCATCATCATTATATAGCCGCCCAGTCCAATACTACTGTTTGCCGACCAAAAATGACGAGTTTCAACTTGGCATAACGCGTTACTGTGTCACAGCGAAAACGCGCCGTTGTTTCAGCAATGTAACGTTCTAGGGTTGCGGTTGACCTTGGGTGTTAACGTCTGAAGTTGAGTATGACCTTGAAAATTGACATTTTAACGTCTCGCATTTCACTAATGACTGGTGACTAATGGTGTCTAATAATAAACACGAGACACTATCGTGAAGAGGCATTTAACTTCGACGTTAATAATTAAATATTGAAATTACCAAATTACACTAGAAACACTTCATCACCGTTAATCGTTAAGGCCAAAATCTTAACAATCCGTTATCAAAAACACATTGTAAGCGTTTCATAGTAACACTTCCGTAAAATTTCTGTTATCCAAGGTTTATTGTAAGTGTTCCATATTAACACTACCGTAAAATAATCATTATCAATAGCTCATTGTACAAATTCTTTACCAGTCAAATATCTGTGATCAATGGTACATAGTAACAATTTAATCGAAACGGTCGGAGTTGGATTCCCTGATCCCTGAAAAACAAACAAAAGTAACGGAGAAGAAATACTAAACATAAGGCATCATGAATTCCTAAAAACCAGGGAAAGAAACTGAATGTTCTGGATTCTTTGATATAACAAATATTCTATTCAATTAACAAAAGTGTGACAAGACTGATGTCGTAATCGCAATGTGAAATGAATAATGGTACAAACCAATGTACCACGCAGCCATTCGCAGTTCTGGTGTGATAAGGGAAATATGACTTAAACGTGTTCTTGTGTATAGTATGTACTTAGTATTCAAATAAAGTTCTATCATTTTTCTACTGCTGCTTGTTTGAGGAAAAGTAAAAATAGATTGATTTGACAGAAATAGATATTTTAGTAATGCTCGCTAGACCTTTATTATGCAAGAAGCTTTTGTGACATATCCCAGCATGTTACCAGACAGTGATATTCGTGACAATATGACAAAACAGCATGTCGACGAGAACAAACCAGGTCACGAACATGTTTACGGTAGTCGCTGGGAGACTTGTTAATAGTCACGAACGTCGAGAACACAGCCTCTCTCCAGGAAAGAAAACCTGTCTGCCAAATATTCACATATTCGAACGCAACATGTTGCTCTTCTGTGTTTTGTTATACATAAATAATGCAATTACCAAACCATACTGTTTTGAATCATAGGTTGACTCGAGAGCGGCATACATATTCATGGCTCTGTTGATTTACTAATTAACAGACAGATATGTTTAGTCACTAGGGTTCACATATCAAACATGAAGTAGTTTGGTATAGTGGCGGTGATATCAAAGAAAGACTACCATACCAAACAAAAGAAACAGAACGTAAGTAATCAGTTCTGTAATTTCCCATGTTGACGACCCACAGCAAGGAGTGTGTTATTTATTGTATCCACGGGTACATAGTATTATGATTGGCCAGGATGATACACGAATACAATTCTGATCAGCGACTCTTCGGTGTACCTGATAAGTGTCAACATTAAAGGCATAATTAGACCCTGCATGTTTTGACGATTTCTTTTATTTTCAATGTATTTGTGTACATATCCCACAGTCACATAACATTTGACATAAGCTTGCTTCGTAAAGGTATATGTTTACGTAAGACATATATTTAGCTGTTTATACTACCGAATGTTTACTTTTATTACCTATTTACAATGCAACTTGAAGTGGGTGGGTGCGTCCTTTTGCCAGTTAAATCACGTAATTATGATACTCTGTCATAATTGACATTGTATGATTACATAATTTAAGAGTAACATTAACTTGATTTCCATCTTTTTTAATTTCAACATTTGTAAATATGAAAGACATGTAGCACTTTAAAATGTTATACATTCCTGGGATAGACATGCTCCCATTGTCCTGTGTCTTAAAACCATGATATTTCATTTTACGACCGCATCATTAACCTGATTTCCATCTTTTTGATTTAAAAGTTTCTAATTCTAAATACATTTTCATCTTTTACCGTGTATTTTATCAATTTGATCGTTTGTCAATGTCGACACAAATGACGATCTCAACTCTCAATGCAAGATGTCGGGATATCTATAGATAGGTTCGGTGACTCGGAGCACGGCTTTAAAATACAAACAGCAATACAATTCCATGGTTCCTGTCATTTTTTTACCTGGATAATGTCAGTCTGCATCATGTCAAAACTTAGGCCACCCTTGGTCTATATCAGAGTGCCCTCCCATCAATGATGTAGAGTAAAGGTTTAAAAACCCAACATTTTATCCCTCTTTTCTGTAACGCGATTGACGTCGGAATGGCGGATGACATTTATTATACTGATTATTACAATAAACTTCAAAGCCACTTTATACTGACGGCGTCTGGTTATGAAAAGTCGATCACAATCAGAGGAAAAAAATGTGTTGTCGTCATAGAATGCCATGAGATATGAGTTCTTGGATTTACCATAACAGCTACAAAAAAAAACGTGTTTTGTTCGAAAAGTGTTACATGTATAGTGTAGTGGAACAAACGGCTGTCAATAACCGGCTCTATTCCTTAACATGTAAATCCCACACAAAAATGGTAACGCTTTCGTTACAATGATGTACATGTAGTATCGAAACATAACAAAAATAATTTTTAATTTAAAAAAGGCAAAAATTACTTAAAAGGTTTTTTACCATGACGGAATGTATTGTTATACACATAAGCTGTATTCTCTAAAAACTACAGACGTATTTCTAGTGTAATATTGCATAAGGAGACAGACAATATTGAATTTTCTTTTTAACAACATAAAAATGTCATAGTTGGGATCTGTCTGCTGTTTTAGTTTACAATATAAACACATATGGAAATGATGTATAGTTTGGTTTCCATTCACATGGGGTAATACAGTTTCAATTCACGAAAGCATGCGATGTGTAATAATCATACGTAAAACGGTAATAAAAAGAGGATTTCGTGTGAATTTCCATTTGATATGAGATTTATCAGTTTAAAACTCATCTTTTGAATTCCTTCTTTACCAATAGCAACCCAATCACGGCTATAAGAATATAATTCCACAGAATGCGATGAGACATAGTTCCCAAATCTGTACATGATTTGACAGTACTATCAACTAATTATACTATTTGAATTGTCAGCTTTAGTTTAATTTAATCAAAAATATGTGTTTGTTATTAGAAATGCAAGTGAAACAATGTTTTTAACACAACGATCTAAAACTAAAAAGTGACCGCGCCAGAGTGGCAGACAGCCGCGTCATAGCAAAACGACGCGTCATAGCGCGCGCAAGTACAGAATCTAGGTCATACCTGTTTCCAAGCCTGATTAGTCAATGCTGCTATCTGAAACGATTCTTCTTCGTTAAATCGCTCTTTGATGACTGACGTTGTCTTCTTTTAAAACCATATTGACATAGAAATGTCCTCCATACGCATTACCACCAAACATTGTGTGAAGTCCTCCGAGAACATTTCTTGATAAGGCCCTGTTCGTGGCTGTATTTTAGACTGCGGTGTTGTTACAAGTTGGAGTCAACTGATTCTGTTGACATTGTGTTGGGGCAAGAGCCATGGTTCCTAAAGGGACGGATAATATGCGCCAAATATGTTTGTGCTGATCCGAGTTAATGTGATTGTAATTATTTACATATTGTATAGTTCTATGACTCGTACGGCGAGTAGTTCTGTTTACATACTACGCCACGCGTATTAACACACACCACATGTGAATAGACTGACCAATCAAAACCCTCCACGGTGTTATTATACGTGTATTCACAACATAATTGAGGTAATGGGTGTTGTTACACTCATAACAGGGTAGTCAAGTGATAAACGCCTTTATTGAAGTTAGATAGAAGTTTCTAACACATTTTATATAATGATTATAGCATATATGTATGTTTGACATAAATCTGTCATTTCGCTATGGTTTGTTCATGAGGATCCCCGTGCCACTACAAATATATAAATTGAAAATAAT